CCCCACCTCACCCCCCAGAAGTGGGCACTCAGCATGGGTCACAATTTCTGTACTTTTCTGAAAGACATCCTTGGCTTCCTCCTCAGAGCCTCAGTCTCGGATCCAGTTAATGCCTCTGGGTCTGGAGTTCCTTGGAAACCTAACCAGGAGTCTGAACACAGCGTGGGTTTGATGTGGTTAGAGGCAGGCCAGGGAGTGAATAGAGGCCATGGGAAGGCTCAGCTCTCAGCCCTGAATTGCTGCCATGCCCACCCTCCCCACTTCAGCCACACACCCTTAAATCCATATCTCTAGGTAAGGGAATCACTAGGAGTTTTAAGGAGCCCAGCCCTACTCTTCAAGACCAGGGGCCTAAGCTCTTGTTCCAGAATCAGAGAAGTCAGAGGACAAGGTCTTTGGTTCTGCCTCTGCCTTTGCCTTGGGAGCAAGTGTCAGCCTTCCACTCGAGGCCTCTGAAAATGGGGAGACGGATGCCTGGCCTCCAGTTTTGTTGTTCTACAATTCCTGTGTATCTCCTGTGTTTCTCCACATGCTGAAGAAAACCTCCCCATGATGGAGCTATCTCTGCTGAGGCACCTTAGTTCCCCCGTGCAGTGCCGATGGTGACATTTTTGGATCTTGTCTGCAGGCAGGAAGGAGAAGCTTGGAGCTTTGTGCAAGGGCTGTTGTCCGGCCTCTGGGCTCCAGTGCGGGTGTGGCCTCTTCAGGGCAGGAAAGGATGCCAGCAGTCCCGGAGGAGGGGCTGTCCAGAGCGTACTTACATCAGCCTCTTTCTCAGTTGTCAATAGGCGCCAGGGCCAAGTGGGTTTGATGCCTTTCCCCCAAGCTCCCCACACATGCCTGAGAGAGCCCCGTACCACTCTGGCTCAGCTCCCCCACCTTGCATTCTGTGCCCCCAGCCTCAGAGCCCAATCTAAGTGCAGAGCCCAGACCGCTGGGCCCACGGAGGCGAGTTAAACAGTGATGAAAGCATCCTTGGGATTAATGGTGACATGACCACCACCTCTCCCCAGGCTCAGCGAGCACAGGCCTCCTCTCTCCTCTCAAGTCGGCTGAAGAACAGTTGCCAAAGAGTTCCTGACAAGCACCCCTGGGGGATGTGGGCAGTGTTTCTGATCTCCCTCTAAAGGTCATCTTTCCACAGTTCCTCCCTTCCTGCCACCCCATCAGGAATTGTTTACTTCACACAGCTAAATGCCGCAGTCCTTCTCAGCTACTTTGGCAGCATGCCATCAGAGTGCAGTCAACAAAGAGAGCAGGAGAAGGCAGCAACCCAAAGACAAAGTATGGTGCCCAGCCCAATGCATAAATGTGACTCAGATATGTCGCAGATGTCCTAGATCATATCCAGACTCCCTTCCTTTGCCATCAAAACTTTCCTTTTGGCTCCTGCAGGGTCCAACAGATCTCATCTAGCGGGGATACTCCTAGTTTAGCCTTTGGCTGCCCTTGAAAGGGACTCTAGAGAATACATATACGGCTTTGTGGATTACGGCATCTACAGTGAGGTGGGATGTGGAGTCCAGAGCAAGCGTAGGCATACCTTGTCCTCAGGTATGTCCATCACTTTAGGGTGACAAAGCGCTGTCATGTACACTTTTCCAGTTTGATCCTTAATCACTGCCCCAGGAAAGGGCAGGGCGAAGGAAGGGGAAGGCAAGTTAAAGTTTCAGGAGACCTTGAGACAGGGCCCTAACTACTCAGGAGTGAGGTCTCCTTCTGGTCCTGCATAACTGGGATAAAGGTGTCATTTTAAGGACCTACTGAAACCAAAGAAGATCAATCCAAGGGAAACCCTTGATCTGGGTCCAAAGTATGAATCTGTTGAGCTAGGCATCCCTGCGTGTCTACAGCAGAACCTGGAGGCAGGTGCTCTTCCCAGCCCAGTCTCCCTAGAAAGCCAAGACCAGAGCACAGATGCCCTAGAAGGTGATAATCTGCTTATGCCTCACACAGGGTGGCAGCATTTCAAAGCCCGACACATATTAGATGCTGGTATTTTTTTTTTTTGGCAACTTGGCTAGGAGATGCTATTCACTTCATCTTGGCTAAGAGATTCATTCTTCCCTGGCAATTTCTCCAAGGTTCTTCATGTAGTCCTTTGGGACAGGGGGAAAATAAACCCTAGAAAAGGGTGTTAACTAGATAAACTGGCTCCCCATCTTAGGAAGGACCCTTGTCAGAAAGATACCCATTCCTAGACTTGGTGGTCTGCCAGATCCTGAGATCTCTCACTTCTATGCTCAGTTAGTGGCACAGGAGGAAAACCAAAGGCATTCTGCTTTGCCTCTACACGTTTCCCACATAGGTACCCAGGGAAGTTACGTGTTTCAATGAAGCCAGTAGCTGAATTTTAGCAAGCATCTCCAATGAGTTTCGGAAGTATGTCTGAATTGATGTATTACATAGAATAATAATAACATACACTTACTGAATCCTAACCACATTTTCAGACACTGTAATAAGCACTTTATGTGGATTAACTCATTTAATGCTCACAATGATCCTATGAAGTAAAGATTCTTCTTATCCCCATTCTGTAGATGAGAAAGCTCAGGCACAGGTATTATACAGCTAGTTTAGTGAGGCAGCCGGAAGGGAGCACAGGCAGCTTGCCTCCAGGTCCTTCCACACAACCACTGGGCTTAGACCACATTTGGAAATGCAGCTAGAGGCCTGGAGTACACTTATCTCTTGTTGGACCAGCAGAGCTCTGAAACGGGTAGGGGACTCCATTGACACTGAAGCCCTGGCCCACAGATCAAGCTTCTGGGCCCCAAACCTGTGAGGCTGTTTGGGCAATAGCAACACCTGTGCTGACACAGCCCAATTTCCCACAGAATCCAGGGAACAGAATTTTCTTACTGGTATCTCCCGCCCTGTCTCCTTTCTCTCCTTTTTCTCCTTTTGGGCCTCGGTCGCCTGAAACAGAGGAGGAAAACTGGCATTAGAAGTGGAAATAAATCCTAGTGCTCCACAAAGTATTATCTGCAGGAGACTTATCAACCCAAGACCAGAGAGAACCTCAGGCACGAACCTGTAGCCCTGGAGGGCACAGCAGGAGAGCTTGAGCAGTTATGCTGCCTGTTCTGGTTCACTCCCGGAAGGAGGAGGGGCCCAGCTGAGCAGATTCTTACCTTCCCCTCCCCATTAATGCCTAGATGAGCAGACCTGCACAGACTAAAGGAGTATGTGGTATTCAGCAGGAAGGAGCAAAGCAAAGATATTCCTATTAAATAGTTAAGGTTTTAGAAGTGCACATTAAAGTTTGCTCTAATAAGCATATGAAGAGAAAAGGAGAGAGGGTCTTCAGTTATACAGGGAGAGACGAAGGTTGTATGTCAGGCAGATTTACCAGTGGGGGAGGCTATAAAACATAAGGGAAAGTTCCCGGGGAATTGTGGAATTTCCTTTCCAGGCTGTGGTTAAAAGAACTCTTTTCCCAGCTAGCATCTCACTCTGCAAGGAAGTAGTAGGTCCTGACACCACTAAAGTCGGCGTTAAAATGACCAGTGAATTCTATTCCAAGGAACTTCAGAAAGATGTCTGCAAATCAAAAGCCTATGGCATACTGTCTGGTGAAAAAAAGCAAGCCAGAAAGTTCCAGGGAAAAACGCCAAGCGTGATCCCAGCTTTGAAAAAAACAAAGGCAGCCATACTATAGGTAAATATGAATGGGCTGAGAAAAAAGTCTGGCAGGGTATGCTCCAAACTGTTTACAGTAGTTATTCTAAAGAGGAAGAGCTTAACAGACAGAAGGGAAGGGGTATCACTTTTTACTTTATACTTTCTACACTCCTGTATTGTTAAATTTTTTCAACAAGCGGGGGCGGGCCGAGTGGCGTGTTGGTTAAGAGTTGGCTTGGGATGCCAGCTCTGAGCTGCAGGGCCCTGGTTTGGATTCCACATGAGGGCCAGTGACGCTGTGCCAGCTAAGATGGTGAACAACAGCTCAACCTGGAGCTGGACTGCCGTGAGTCGCTCACAATGGCATAGGCTACAGCCCCTGCTGCAGTGGGCTGCCGTGAGCTACCCTGAGTAGCTGTCAGCCGCCGAGAGCGGCCGTCCAATGGCCAGTGAGCGACTGCCTCACCCAGGAAGAGCGCAATGATAATACCTACATGGGCCAGTGAAGCGACATCCTCCACAACTAGACTGAAGAACAAAAAGGACAACAGCTTGTCTGTTCCCCTTCCCAAGTCCCCAACACTGTTCCCCTCCCCCAATTCCCCAATAAAATCTTTTTAAAAAAATAAATTTTTTTCAACAAGCATGTGCTGCATTTGTAATCTGCTTTAAAATCAATTTTTTTTAAAAAAAATGTGGATCATAAAAGGAAAAAAATTTCAGTCTGTTTAATCACCAGCCGGAAAGTAGAATAAAATTCCCAGTGATGCAAGATTAAGACACCATCCTGGACATGGGCTGGGAATGATTAATAAAATGTTTTTCTTAGATTTTATTTTAACAAGTGTAAAGGCCAAGCCTGGGGAAAGAGATTTCCTCATCTTCTTCTGCAATGATGATAGCAGGTTTAGGTGCTCTTGAAATGAACATGGAAAGATGGGGACTGATTATAAAATGGGCTCTCCTAAAAAAGAACAAGGTAACTATCACTAGGAAAAAATATCAGAAGAAACACTATTGGCAATGTAAAGCTGAGACTTGATTAAAGCTTGAACTGTTTGGGGAATTAAAAGAATACGATGGACTGTGAGGCTCTGGCAGTACTGGAGAGGAGGTAGCTGCCCTGGGTCTGCAGCCTCTGTGTTTCTCCTGGCTTGGCTTCCTCTGAGATGCAACCAGTAGTAACACTGGGTTTCCCTTGCACGTCTACAGCACTTTAGAATTTACAAAGTGTTTTCACACATGTACATTCCATTTAATTCTCATGACAGCCCTATGCAATATGGTATCATGGGGATTTCTAGTTTTTGGATGAAGAAACTGATGTTTAACGACGAGGTTACGTGACTTGCCCAAGGTCACTCAGCTGGTCAGTGGCAGAGGCAGGATATGAATCCGGTCCACCAACTCCAATGCCCATGCTGGTGCCCAGGGGCTAGCAGGGAGTGAGGGTGCTCTGAGATTCATGACTACCTTTGAACCCACGCATGCCCATTGCTCCTGTAGCTCCCGGCTCTCCATCATCGCCTTTGGGGCCAGGCAGTCCTGGGGTTCCTCTCTCTCCTGGCAGACCTGGGGAGACAAGAGACAAATTGGGGAGCCTGAGACTCAGAACTGGAAGGGCCCCTAGTGGTCATTGTCTGGCTCAGTGGTCAACATCAACCATAATATATCCTCCCATTACCTTTGCTTCCTGATTCTTCTCAGGTAATTTAGAGATGCTGCAAAAACAGTGTCCCAAAAGTCAGCACAAACCTTCCCCATTAGTACCTTTTATCTAGTTAGGCTGGACTCCACCCCGCAAAAGATCCAATTCTATTGTAAGTGATGGTGGTGGTGCCAAACCCATATGGGAGATGCCCCTTTACCTCTAGCTGTGCTGGACATTTAGATTTGGCAAACATTTTGGGGGAACATTTTCTATGTGCCAGGCACTGTTCTGGATGCTTTGCATAAAGCATCTTATGTAATCCTCACAGTAAACTGAGGTAAGTATTATTTCACCTGTGTTACAAATGAGGAAACTGAGGCCCAGAGATTAAGTAACCTGTCACACAGCAGAGGGTGTTGGAGGCAGGATCTGAGCCCTGGTCTTTCTGAACTAAAAAACCATGGTCAGTCAGCTTCATCTCATGCTGATGAAAAGGGCTTCCTGGGACTTAGGGTGGGAGGAAGATGAAATAGCTCCCCATCCTATTTAAGGGGGAAAAAAAAAAAAAACAACCAAAAAAAATGTCCCTTCCTGGTGGCAAACACAGGAAAGCGTTGAGATGGGGATCCTAGGCTGAGGAGGAGGGAGGAAGTCAGTAAATGGGATGGATGGCCAGCTACCAGATCAGGCCCCAGGGTTCCTGAAAAATGAGGCCCCATAGCCACCCGCTGCGTGTCACCAGGGAGAGCCAGGGTCAACAAATGCTTCCGACCCAGTGACAGGCCTGGCCCCCCAGGGGCCTGACCTAAGCCCACAGTTATCTCTGCAGAGCAGAGCAGCCTTAATTAACGTTAATTGTTCTTTCCTGCTTTGACTGCTAGTTGGTTTTCTTTGGGCTTTTTTCTGAGACATGGAAAAACTGTCTCCCACTAATTATTCTTCCAGAGGAAAGGTAGCCCCAGGGGGGTGGCAGGACCTCAGAGAAGGGCTTAATTTCTGTTTTTGCTCCCTAACACAAAGTTTGCAGAGTCCAAAGGCCCGTTGCCGCAGAACTGTGGATCTAGGGCAGGAAGTGCCCAGGGCACATCCTATAACGTACTAAGGCACAAAATGAGGTTTCACAGCACTGAGAGCCCTTGGGTATCCTCCATTTTGAATTTAGGGAGCTCCCCTGAGAAGGGGAGGCAAAAAGTGGAGGCTAGGCTGTGGGCTGTCCCTCTACCAGCCTCTGTTTCCTCTCCTGTTGGCAACCTCTTTAGAGATTTAGGAAGGAGATGATTTGGAGGTATGATTCCTGATATAAATAAGCAGGCACCTTCCCCTGATAAACCTCCTTTTCTTACATTATTCAGAAGACTCTGCACTCTCCTAGATAAATACTGTTCACAGTAGAGGCTCAGGAATGGACAGACTGGGACACAAAGAATAATGGAACAGGAATTTCCCTAGACAACGAATCAAAGAATATACAGCAGTTCCTAGAATGATGTTGTTTCATTCAACATCGTTTCACTATAACATTGAGGAGATGCCATAGGAGCTTAACTCTTGTTTGTATCAATTAGCCTATGGTCAAAGGTTTTGTTATATGTTGTTTTGCTTCAAGTCACAGAACCTATTGATGACGTTAAGGGAGGACTCTTTCCAGAAGCCTAAATAGCATCCTCCTCACCAGTCACTGGATCTTAAGGTCTGTCACTAGCATGTGTAGCAGGATGGGGAAGTTAGGGGAGGGGCAGGTGTTTATTGATCTGCACAGGTTCAGCAGAAGGTGGGGGCATCAGGTGCCTGGCGATTCAGGAAACACTGAGGTGGGGCGGCCATACCATAATTGGAGGTTTGGTCCAGATGGCGGGACACCCACAATTCCTTCTGAAGGCCCTGGTCACATGGACCCTGACTCCTAGGGTGGGAAGTGGCTTCAGGGAGCAATGAGCCTCTCATGCACCCCTTTCCTTCAAATCTTGGTCCCTTCTGTGAAAAAGTATTTGTTCCATCCTATTGTTACACCAACAACCTATCAGTCTCTTAACAGAACAGGGCATTTGAGGCTGAGTTGACTGGGCATTATCCCAGGGAACCCCACCTCTGATACCAATGAGAAAGCAGAGGGTCAGGGATGGGTTGGGGGCCCCTCCCCTTCCTAGTATGGCCCAGGACCCTCCCCATTACCTCGAAGTCCAGGTAATCCAGGGATTCCAGGCTCGCCTTCCTTCCCTTCGTCACCCTGATCACCTTTGGGGCCGGGTGGTCCTGAAAGGATTACAAACAGCACCAAAATTAGAAGGTGGCTTTCTGGAGCAGGCTGCTTGCAGAGGAAACGCAAACTCCCTCCTAGAGAGAGGAAGGGGCAGCATGATGCTTTAGAGTCAGCCAGCAGCTCCACCTTGCCCAGTCTTGTGTGTGTGTGGTAGGGGTATCAGGGAAAGCTTCCTGGAAGAAGTAACATCCAAAGCGAAATCTCAAGGCAGAACAGAAAATGACTAAGTAAAGGGAGGAGTAGGAGTATGTGATGAACTAAATGTCTGTGTGTCCCCTAAATGCATATGTTGGAGCCCTGCCCCCAATGTGATGGTACTTGGAGGTGGGGACTTTGGGAGGTAATTAGGGTTAGTTGAGGTCATGAGGGCACAGCTCTCATGATGGGATTAGTGCCCTTGTAAAAAGTGACACCAGAGATTTCTCTCCCTCCCTCCCTCTGGCTGGTGAGCATGCTTTCTCTGCCAGATGAGGACACAGCAAGAAGGCAGCTGTCTGCAAACCAGGAAGAGGGCTCTCACCATGCCAGTGCCCTGACCTCAGACTTCTAGCCTCCAGAACTCTGAGAAGGAAATACCTGCTGTTTAAGCCACCCAGTCTGTGGTATGTTGTTATAGCAACCTGAACAAACTAAGACACAGTGAAATGGGGGGGAGCTCCAGGCAAAGCGAACAGTCCCTGTAAGAGCTTAAAAAAAGAGATACATGAGCCATAATGGTGTCAGAAGCTGGGGGCACATGATGGGATAAGAAGGGTGAGAAAGTGGAGGGTCCTGGAGGTCCAGCCTAAGTTGCTGGACTTGATCCTGAGGGCACCAGATCCCACAGGAGGAACCTGAGAGAAGAGCGTGATCAGGTTTGCACACAAGAAATACCACTCGGGCTGCCGTGTTGGAAAATGGATCAGAACAGGAGGGAAAGCAGAGACAGGGAGGCCAGGGAGGAGGCTGCACCCCAGGTGAGAGGTGCTGGAGCCCTGAATGAGGGAAGTGGCGGTCAGGAGGGATGTGAGCAGCTGTTTGGAAGTAGGAGAGACAGACCTTGGTGAAACATAGGTGAAGGCAGGGGAGGCAGCCAGGATTGTGTTCAGGTTTCTGGCTGAAGCACCTGAATGGAAGAAGACGTTTCTAATTTCTCCTGAGCGGGGGCTTCCTTCCAGGGCGAGACTCAAGCATGGCAGGAATTCTAGCATCTGTGATTGGGTTCAGTCCCCACAACAACACTGGATGTTGAAGTTACTCGTCTGCGACCACACAGCCAGCTAGCAAGTGAAGGAGCTAGGGTTCTAACTCAAGGCTGTCTGGTCCCTGGTCACTCTTGCCTCACTCATCACCCTAGACATCTTGCCATTCCCAGAATGCAAAATAAACCTTCCCACCACTGAAGCCTGCTGTTCCTGGGCTGGTGAGCTGGGGAGTCAATCTGCTATAGTGACCTGCTCCCCATCACCCTAGGACATTCACCACCCCCTTTTTGGCCAAGCCTTCTCCGATCCATCATTCTGGCTGGAAGTGGGCATGGCCTGTTTGAACACATGCACTTGGTACCATTTGACATTTAACTCACACTGCCTTGTCCTGTAGCCATAGGTGTATGTGTTCTCTTTTTCCTAACAAAATTGCCAGCTCCCTGAGACAGGACTACATCCTTGACATCCTTGTTCCAGCTGTGAAAATCCAGACTCTAAGCTCTCCACTCTTGCGGCTTTGTGAGAGAAAAAAAGAACCAAGGAAAATGCCAGACTGTACTGAACTGGGTTGAAGAGGGTCCCCCCAAAACTCATGTCCACCCAGAACCACAGAATATGACCTTATTTGGAAACAAAATCTTTGCAGATGTAATTAGTTAACATAAGGTCATTCTGGAGTAGAGTGGGCCCTAACCCAATGACTGGTGTCGTTATAAGAAGAGAAAGCACAGACAGACACATGAGGAGAATACCACATGGTGAAGGAGGCAGATATTGGAGTGATGTGTCTACAAGCCAAGGAATGCCAAGGAAACTTTCAAAAGTTTGTCAGAGACCAAGAAGCATCCTTAAGCTTTCGGAGGGTGTATGGACCCCTTGTGGACCCCTTGATTTCAGATCTCCAGCCTCCAGAACTGTGAGAGAATAAATTTCTGTTGTTTTAAGCCACCAAGTTTGTGGTACTTTGTTATGGCAGCCCTAGGAAACCAAAACATGTATACTCACAGCATAGCAGTAATGTTCTGCACGATAAATATTTGATGAATGAATTGGTATATGAGATCAGAGTGTGTTAATACATACAAAACAACGAAGAGGCCAAGATCAAGATGTACTGATACATTCCAAAAGTTGGCACTGTCCCCAGACCCTCATCAAAGTTGACAGCTGTTTAATAATTCAATGGCACATGCACAGAGAAAAAGTAATCAACAATTTAAAAATGGACGAGTTACACAAATCATTTAAGGAGGACTGGGTTTTGCAGCCATCTTCCGGTTTTCTATGAAGAAAAAAGCAAAGTCAGACTGGCCATAATGATCCCAGTTTTCAGATGACAGCACTGAGACACACAGCCCTTTTGGAACATACTTAAGATTATACAGCAAAGGAAAGACATAGTAAAGAAGCACATGAGCTTCCCAACTCCCATGCCAGCAATCTCCCGGCCAGGGCAAGGCTGCAGAAAGGGAATTGAGAGAGGTGCATTCCATCTCTGCATTCCATGAGCTGCCACTGGGCTAGACCTCCCTCCCCAGTGTACCCCACCCCTTTTCATGCTCCTCTGCTCCCTCCACCCCTCCCCATGGGGAACAAAGCTCTCCAGGAATTGAAAGAGTCAAGCATACAATGGACCATGCACTCCAATTTGTCCTATTCACCCTGATTCCAGTGTGACTCAACTTATGGATCTTCCCAAGAGTAATTCTTGCAAGGGAACGATGCCGCCCAGCAGAACAACCCTGATGGAGGGGCATCAGGATGGCAGCTATCACTTGGAAAGTGGGGGTTGAGTATGGATGTGGAGCATCTTGGGTTCAGGTCCTGGTTCTATAAAATCTAAGTAAAGATTCCTTCCTTAGGCATTTGTAGTGAGGAGTAAGTGGATTAAATGCCACCTGTTTATAAAGGGGCTTGGTAACCTTTGAGTAGCAAGGCCATCCTTGACCATCTGTACCCCACTTTTCATAATGCTTCATCAGAACTATTCTTTGATGACTGTGTACAAGGATTGGGGATTCTAAGCTACCCCTGAAATCACCCTGCTGAGCTTGGCTGGGTCATTCAGGAAGAGTCAGGTCTGGAAAACATCCTGTGCATGGACATAGTTTTATAGTTTTAATGACACAAGTAAGTGGTTAGTGGGGGGTCTTTACTAGAGATTAACTGGGGAAAAGTTGGGGTGGGCAGTAAAGGTGGGTGCTGATTTCCAATCCTTAGTCATGTCCTCAAGTGGTACTGACCCAACACAACAGATGCACAGGAGCCTAAAATGTGGCCAGTTCTGAGTCTCCTGGGGCCAGGCTGCCTGGAGCTCTGAGGACCAAGCATTTCTTCAAATCATTGCTACCCATAGGTAATGCATTCCTGGGATCTGACATTTTGTCATTCTCTCTAAAAATCTCAAGCTTGCTTTGTGACTCCTCCGTTCCCTCTGTTACTTTGCGAGGCGCTTGTCATTGAGGCGATTCTCGTGTCATGTCTCTACCTCCTTCCTCACTGCCATCAAGCTCATCAAGGTCTTGCTCCCAGCCTTTTTAGAAGCCTCCTTATCTCCCTCTCTTCAGCCCACTGTGAGCACTGCTGTTGATTAATCCTGTCAGTATCAAATGAGCTCAGATCCCTCACAGGACAACGTGCCACGGCCCCCTCTGTTGGAGACCCCTACTGGTCATTCCCAAGTGACCCCTTCTTCTGGACACCAGCTCTCTTCCAGCTCAGCAGAAACATTCTCCTTGCGGTGCCCCCGAATCCTTTCCTTTCTAAGTGTGCCATCCCTCTTAACCCTGGAGCTCATCTCTGCACAGCCTTCTGATCTCTTAGGCACCAGGACAGAGCCCCGCAAATCACTGGATGCTCGGAGCCATCACTATGCCCATTCATGGGGCACTATCACTCACTTTGGACTATGGAGCCCAAGGAGAACCAGCCTCTCTCTAGGTCTGGACCCCCCCTCTGCGGCCCTGAGCCTCACATAACAGCTGTCACACGTAGAGATTTAAAGAATGATTTGGGGGCACTCATAGAAGCCATTATGGTATCAGTGGTTCCAGTGGTACCCAGGTAAGCTTTTTAACTTCTCAGCTCTGTACACTGTCATTTTCTTATCTTTTTTTACCACTGGAGCAGGCCAGAGTATGGAGCTCAGTTGGGATAAACAGCCCTGGACCCCCCCACTACTGTGCTTCTGGTCTGGTATGCCAGCTTCTCTTTCCTGCCCACCTCCTAGAGGGGGCATGGGGAGTGAAACCTCTGTACCCAGGGCCCCCTTTCAGAGCCTGTCCACTAGTCTAGCCCACTCCACCATGCTCCTCCCAGGGCAGTTCTGCCCTCACCCAGGCTGCCCATGAGCTGTTCCAGCTGGAAGCATCTTTAGAACAGAACAAAGGATATGTGACCCAGTATTTGGGAGAAATACCAGGCTTCTTCTGGGAACCAGCCCACAGGGAGGAAAAAGCAATCTGTTCTCTCTTCCCAGATCCTGGAACTAGTGATGGGGTGGGGGACTCGTGTGTGCTGGAATCTGGATAGTGACCTGCCAAGAACAAATTCTCTTGATAGCTGATGAAGTGGGCCTGATGCCAGCAAAATAGTGACCAAAATGGTAATGTAAACACACCCCCAGAATCAGGCTAATCCCCGGGTGGCTGAAGGAGGTGGAGTCACTCAATTAATTGCTCTAGTTCCATTTCCCTGATGTCACTGGGACACTGGACCATATTACCTTTACACTTTTGCAAGCTCTCTTACTTACCTCATTGCTGCATCCTCTCCACCACCCTGAGCACGTACACAGGGCAGAGATTGTCAGCTCCATTTCACCGCTGAGAAAACTGGGGCCCAGGAGTGCAGTTCTGACCTTCAAGGTCAGCTTTGCTCTGAGCCTCAAGGGCAAAGGGGGTTGTGGGCGAGGCTGGGTGCAACTGCTAATTTTCACAGCATGCTGTCCACTTCCTTCCCAGCAGAATCAGATGTGGAAAGCGAAATGACAGAGTGCCATACAACCCGCCCAGGGAGTCGCTGCCCAGCCCATGCTTTGATTGAGAAGAAACACTATTTACATGTTGCTCTCATCAGAGATACTCAACAGCTCTATCACATCCTTATTTGCTAGAAGCCCAAGTCCCAGTGTTTGAGCCTGGAATCCAAGACTCCACAACATTACACCAGCCCTTTATAAACATTTGTTGAACTGGACTCGCTAATCTACTAGGTGGCATTTTTTTTCCCTCAAAAATGTAGCCCACAGATAAATTTGCTTTGCCAATTTGTGTTCATGAATCGAGAGATGTGTTTTCTAGTTCCAGCTAGGCCACTGGCTCGAGATTTGACTTGGGCAAATTTCTGAGCCTCAGGGTTCTCAATTACAAAACAAGAGGCGTGGACTAGATGATTTCAGAGACCTATTATCGCTCTAAAATGTTCTGTGAGTCTATAAACGACCATCTAGCGAACACTCTGAATATGGCTGGAGAGTTCTGCCTTCAGGCCTTTGCTTGTACCTTCCCCCCTCCAGATGTGCTTCCCCTCTCTGGAAACCTTTCTGCCTCCTTGTATTCCTCCCCTTTCTAGTTATCTTTCCTCTCCTGGTATGTCTTCCCTCTCTGGTTCCTTTTCCCCCTCCTGGTATGCCTCCTTTCTCTGATATCTAAGTTCTCTGTTGCTTTCAAAGCCACAGACAGATTTCAACAGGCCTGACTGATGCTGAAAACCCAAATCAGAAAACGGAAAGCACTGCTGGGAATGTACACAAAAGACAAACTGAAGACAAAATTCATAGAAAACTGTATAACAAAGAAAGAGAATGAAAACCATTCGGAGTCAAGCTCAAGAATAACATAAATAAGCTCAAATTTGAAAAATATACATAGTTAAGTATTTGTGGATTCTGAGCCAAGAAGGCGCAGTGTGTGTGTGTGTGTGTGTGTGTGTGTGTGTGTAAAGACTAAGAGAGGAACTGGACAATGCTAGGGGAGAAAGGTCACTTTAGACAGCAGTATATAAATGTATGAAAGCTATCTGGTAAAACATCCCTTATCCAAAAGCCAGGGTAGAGTTTTGTCTCATTCAAGTTGAATGGTAATTACATTTGGATATGCCAAACAGAACTCTCTGTACTCATACCAAGTGGCAACCAAGAGAGAGAGGTGGGAAAGGGAGATGCTAGATGCAGTGGTGATCCTGAGAACTGGAGGGGCAGAGTGGTGGTCACCTCTGAAGAGCCAGCAGCCCTTCGAGAATGCAAAGCTTTAAGACAGGAAGGTAGGCCTGAGAAGAAACTTTCAGTTCAAGAGGATCAAGTGTGAAAGAAAGGCTACTTGGAGGATTCCACTGGAAGAACTTTGACAAATGAATGGCTCAGAGCAGTTTCAGTTTGAGCCAAGGAGGGTGGACTTGGAAATTAAAGAACCAGGGTGTGAAATGTTCAGTGAGGCCAGGATGATGCACCAGGAAGAAGCATGGTGATGTTTGTTGACTGGAAGAGGAAGGAAGATGGGAGAGCCTGGGAGAGATTACCCCCAAAAAATATAGGAATGGAGTCCAAGGGACCATGGTCCCTACTCTCTTCATTGCTTATAGCTGGTATCTCTTCACGTGGAAAGCAAAATGGTCAGCTATAAGAACATGATTTTTGAGCCAGAAAGACTTATTGTTTAGACCTTAGCTTTGCCACTTGCCAATTACATAAGAAACAGTGGGAAAGTTATTCAAGTTTCTTATCTATAAAATGGGGACAATAATACATATTTGCAAAATGTAAGAATTAATGGAGAATTAATGAGAATTTAGAGATTAATACTGACAAAATGTCTGGTTCATAGTAGGTCACGATTCGGTAGAGTTGCTATTATTACTAAGTACCTTCTATGGGCAGGGGAGGTCAAGGAAAAGAGAAGACAGGAAAAGCTAAGATCCCGGTGGTGTAAATTTGAAAGAAGAAATTCTACCTCCAGCGCTCCTTTGATTTCTGAGAGGTGAAACCCAAAATGACCCAGGACAAGAAAACCAATCTTCTAATTGCCCAGGTTCAAGGTTGAACGGTTGTTCCACAAACATTCATTGAGTCCCAGTTACGTGTATTGCACTGTTAGGTGCCAGGGAATGCAGGGTTGAATAGATGGGGGTGGACTGTAATGTGGTAGAATGAGCACTGGGCATTGGCTTGAAAGCCCTGGCTTGGTCACTGAATTGTACACTTCAATGGGTGAATCTTGCAGCATATAAATTACGCCTTATTAAAGCTGTTGAAGACAAAAGTCCTGGGTCAGATTATTACCAGCTGTGTAGCCTTGAGTACATCAGCTATTTCCTTCTGGAGCCTCAGTTGTTTTTCTGCAAGAATCCTACCCCGCCCTCGACAATGAAACCTGCCTTCCACCAACCTCACTCACAGCTGGTCAGGAGGACCCACTTTAAAACAAAATAATGTATGCGAAATTACTCTGTGAACTAGAAAGTGCTATGCAAACGGGAGGCCTCATCACTACTATGTTCTACTCTGATAAATGTGGATGCTCAGAGGAGGGAAACTTGAGCACGCTAGAGAGGTCTGCACGGTTCTTGGAGGCGGGTCAGAGTGAGATCTGAAGGATCACTGGGATTTGGATGAGGAGAAAGGAGAGAAAGAAGGGGGGACTGCAGTAGGAGGAACAACTGGAGTAAAGCTATGATAGCAGGAAAGGCAGGCTGTGTCTTGGGGGCAGTGACAAGTCATATTCCACTGGACTGGATGCTTTATACAGGACAGGGGTGTAAGCTGGCAGTCTATGGACCATATATGGTCCCCAGATGTGTTGTATTTGGCCCACAATGTTAAACAAGTAAATATTTCTAGAACATTCCATGTTTCTAGTTTCTCTTGAAAAATGGGAAGACCTTATCAAATTGCCAGCCTGGCCAAAATGGGCTAGACCTGCTATAGCCCCCGATACCAAGGTCACTTTACTCACTGACATTTTTCCACTGGTCCCTGCAGACAGTTCTGTTTGCAACTCCTGGATTAGGGGAACAGTTGGAGGGGAAGGCAAGAAAGATAGGCTGGGGCCAGGTATGTGATGCAAAGCACACCAGCTCTTGGAGCAGAAAAGCCTGGGTCCAAATCCTGGCTCCATCACTGCCTAGCCTGTGAGCAGCTTCCTGAATCTCAATGCACTTGTTGTTTTTTAAATACAATATATGAGATACCCTGGGCACCACACCTGACATAGGTGGTGTTCAAAATGGTATTCTTATTGTCTACCATCAGGCTAGAGAGTTTTTGAATCCGGCAGAACTTGGGGAGCCATGGTGGGTTCTGAGGGGAAATGATGTGAGAAAAGTACAGATTTGGGAAAAGGTGCCTCCAACAGTGATGTGCAGGGTGGACAGCACCAGGAAGGCATGAGGGAGTGGGGAGGGGACTCGTTCGACCGAAGTAAGACAGGGAAGTTGGTTCTAAAGGCTCTAATGTTCACGGACCCCAAGCAAGAGCACAAATGGAGGCCTGCCCATTTTTTTGACATCATGCTAAAAAGTTATAAACGAAGCTGACAAATTGTTAAATAAAATATGTTCTTCTACCGGGATGAATATAGCTTCATAATAGCCTGGAAGGCCAGGCTATTCAAATTCCAACTACTTGTAGCTCTCCCCATCAGAACACCATGACGGTAGAGGAGTACCTGCCTCCCTGTTCCCAGCCTGAGCCTGCAGCCTGACCTTCTGCTTTTCTCCCCAGCCCCACACTCTTGGAGGCCCCAGCTGGCACACCCAAGCTAACTACCAGCCCTCCATTTGCCACCTTGGGGTGTAGACACTGAGTACAGTCTCTGGGAGTACGAGTTCACAGGCACATGTACAGGGCTGGATATGGGCATAGGCCATTTGGGCAGAAAATTCCAGGGTCCTATAGGGCAAGACTTAATTAAGGAGATATGGGCTCCCAATGTCAAGTCAATGTGGGGAGGTAAAGGGACTCTGGGCCCCCGGGAGGGTGCAACAGAGAGAGGGTCTGAGCAGGAGGGGCCCAGGCAGGCACTGTGGGCTCCATACCTTTGGCTAGGGAGATGTTCCTCAGAGCAATGGAGTGTTCCCAGTCCTTGAGGCGCAGGTCCTCCGTGATGGTGTTGAGCATGGCCAGCTCCTGCTTGAGCTGCAGCTCCATGCCCATGTGCACCAGGCGCATGCGGCGTGTGTCCTCGCTGGCATTGCTCACCAGCACCTGCAGGTCCTGCAGCCGTGTGCTGTGGAGGGCCACGTCGTAGGACAGGCTGTAGTTGAGGCCGCGCAGGGCACCACCCACATCGGCCAGCTCCTCGCCCAGGACACCCATCCTGCGCGCCAGCCTGTCGAGCAGGCCCGCGTGACGCCCCAGCAGCAGCTGGCTGCGATTGCTCTCCACCTGCAGCTGGTAGAGCTCCAGTTGCGCTGCGTCGCTCTGCTGGCCTGTGCGGTCCCGCAGCAGGGCCATCGCCTGCTCTGTCTGCGCTGCCTGCGCCTGCAGCCCCCACAGCGCACCCTCCAGCCGCTGCACTGCACCAGCCAGCGCCAGCAGTGAGTCCGACTGGTTCTGCAGCGCGTCCTGCACCTTCCACACCTGCTCCGTCAGGTCTGCCTGCAGCGGAGCCTGCAGCAGCCGTAGCTGCAAGTCCCGGAAGCTCTCGTTCAGCCGGTTCACGTTGCGAGTCAGCGCCTTCAGGTCATCTGGGGAGCTCCGGGGCCTGGACACTGCAGAGGAGGAGGGGGAGAGATGAGTGCCACTGGGGAGGTCCCTGGGTCCCAAGAGGCAGGCCCAGCCAGAGCGTGGCTTGCAGTAGGTGCTCAATAAACGATAGATGAAGGGAAAGCTGAGGTGGCTATGTTTGAGTGCCTTAATGGATCCCAAGCACTGTGCTAAGCCAATGGTCCTCAAACTTGTCTGCCCATTAGAATGACCTGGCCAGTTGTACCAGCAGCAGAAATTATGATTGAATTGGTCTGGATGTGACCTGGGCCTTTTTGGAATTTTTAGAAGAGCATGAAATAATTCCAAGCTGCAGACTAGTTTTGGTAACCAATGCACGCCTCTAATCATGATGTATGAGGTTGATCCATATGAAATGTTCACGGACGTATGTTGAAATGGTTGGATATCAGCAGTTTCATGTGTGTTGTTATCCTCTCAAGTCAAAGAGGCAGGTACTATTAGTGTCCCCTTTCATGGTTAGAGCTGTACAAGTGTGGCCCAAGATAACCCAGTAAGTAGGTCGTGGAGCCAGAGGGCTTATTTGCTCCAGAGCCTGGGTGCTTCCCCACAAGTCCGCTCTAGAACTGCCTGAAGGAACCACGCCTGCAGCAGACTCAGCCCAGCTCTAGGCAACACTATTTCCTGGCCTCCTGGGTTCAGAGGCCCTTTCCCTCATGCTCACCTGCTGTGGCAAGGACCCCTCTGGGTGGGCGCACACACTCATATTGCTATCCTCCCTCCTCTGCCTCCTCCAACCCTTCTTCTGGGTACCCTATTTCCCTCTGCAGGCAAACAACCCATCTCAGTGATTTCCCCACCTTCCCTCTTGGGGAGGTTCCTTTCCTTGGTTATAAGCAGCTATTTCACAAGCAAAGGAGGAGGCATGTGCATCTTAAGTATTAGAATTTGGCATCCGGTGTCTCCTGGAATCTCGTGGGCTGCACCAACTCGGGTACACTGGGACTGGAATGTCTAGGGATCCTTGCTGTCTAATTTCTGCTTGGGGTCCACAGCCATCTCCCTCTCTGCTCTGCACACTAGAGAAATGGCAACTGCAGTGGGGGTGGGGAAGGGTGGGAGGGGGTGCAGATGAGGCACGGAGGGAATTCTGCCTTGAAAATCTTGGAATGGGGAGAGACAGGGAACTTGATACACAGCTTGTTGAAACAATGAGAATATTTGGATAGAGCCGCTCTCTTCCAGAACTTCAGGTTGGAAAGGGGACGATTGGTAGTGAGGGTGTTTGTGGCACGTGAAGACCAGCTGCCACAATCCCTCAGCAATGCTTCTGGAAGTACAAGCATTTATGGTGGCCCCTCTGGAGGAGATAAGTCATTTCAGATTAGATTCAGAGGCTCATTGGGCTAGATGGGGAATCAGAGCCCCACGTCAACTTCTCCCTCCCCCAGCACTTTATTCTCCAAGAAAATCACACTGCCAAGTGATTACCCAGCCTCTGATTATACCCGTCTCTCCACCTTCAGTTAGTTCTTACTGCTGGAACATTCTGCATTCTGTTAAGTCTTGAAATTTGCCTCCCTGTCGTTTCTCTCCACTGATCCTGCCCTCTCGGGTCATGTAAAGTTAGTGCAATTTTTTCCCACAAGACAGCTCCTCAGAATTTCAAAGACAACTATCACATTCTTTACTACGTGATAACATTTCTGGTTTAAAACCTGCAGTTCTTACATTTGTTCTTTCATGACTAGGTTCCCAGCCTTCATACATCCTGGCTGCCCTCTTCTGCTTAAACTCCTTAAATCTAAATGTGGTTTTCCCAGGTGTGGACAGACCGGGCAAAGTATGGTGGAAGGTTCAGTTCTTTCATTCTGGGCATAAGACTTCTACTAATGTGGCCAAAACTGGGCTCTGTTTAGCTTCATTTGGGCTTTTCGGATTTTTGCCATTGGATTAGCATCTATGCAGTCTTTGGTGAAAAATTTCCCCAATTTACAGATGATGAGACTGAGGCCAGGGGAGTGTCAGTGATCTGCCCAGAGACATGTTTCCTGACTCCTGCCTGGCCTAGTAGTTCACTCCACGGCTCCACCATTTTGGAAAGTTAATTAAAGGGTTGTCAACACAAGTAAAGGTTCTGGGGAAGTGGATCCATGACCCAGTTACAACCCAAGTAACCACAGGAACTGTCTGCTTACGAAATCATCATAGGCCAGGATCTGGTTTTAAAGCCAGTGTGTTTGTCCAGTATTTGACTTAGATTGGTTGATACGTACTAGAGACAGGGCCGTTGGAAAACAGAAAGTCTGATATTTTAGTGTCAGTCTCTGCTCACAGTGTCCCTAGAGTTCAAAGAGACACTGCAGCTTATCAGAAATAATGAGGACACTCTGAATTTTGTCAATTCTCATTTTAAAATCAGGATTGTGTGTGACTAAGAGAAAACAGTGCAACCTACTGGATTTAAATCACAAGGCTGATTTAAGTCTCCATTTGCCCAGGCCTGCCAGAAGCGACATCATGAAGAGGCAATTTCCCTACGCCCACTCTCTTCCACTTCCCACCAGTCCCTCCTTCCCTCTTCAGGTGGTCCCCAGACCTGACTGGTGCCCTGTGACCTTGGAGGCTCCTGGCCTTGCCAGTCAGCCCCCTCCTCTCAGAACCTACCAGCTCTAGGGCCTCTTCTCTCTGCCCAGGAAACAGAACTTGAAACATGCCCATAGGGTGATGGCTGACAATCAGCTACCTCTCCCCAGAAAGTTCGTTTGGGTCTTTTATTATTGTTCATTGTACAACCAATATAAACATGAATCCAAAAAAAGGAAAAAAAAATTCTTCCACAATCCCACAACCTCCAACAAAGCACACTGGTTTTCTCCCTGTTTTCGTTTTCTAGCTCCATCCATATGTATACCCCATCTTTAAAATATGATTCCTGGTTCCTGTTTTTAATCTAATATGATTATTTCATAAACATTTTCCCACCCTCCTCTGCGTCTTTTATAATTATGATTTTGACGGCCACATGAGCCCATCTAGGGGATGTGTTGTAATTTATCCATTCTCTTACTATTGAATATTTTTTTCAGTCATGGAAAAGAAATACAGAAAGTTCTCTCCTTCTTTTGAAATGTTTCCTAACAATAAATTCCCAGAAGTTAGATTAATAGGTCAAAAGGTATAGACATTTTTATGACTCAAAAATTCCAGCCAAATCACTTCCCCAAAAGTTTTACTTACATGATAGAAGTTATATGTACATTATAGATTTTGAAATGTGCCAGTTTCAGTGAAACCTCAGTGCGCTGAGTATTACCATTTTCGTATTGTCGATTTCACAGATATAAAATGGTTATTTTTTTGTTAGCATATTTTCATTTTGGAAGTGGCCTTTTCAAGGCAATGCATTAGCTCAAAGGAATGATATAGACATTTTAGTTACTCGGGCAAAGCAGAACAGAAATTATTTGGAGAGGTAATATTCTTTGGGTATCAAATAGTGCTGTAAAAGCCCAGAGCATCCTCCCTTTTTAGGGATCACTTACCCACCCCAGAAATGAATTAGTTCCTTCCAACAGTCACAGTGTGTTCTCAGCCCACACCACCACCACCACCACCCACCCTCTTCCCCCATTTAATTCCTTCCAGATGTTTGCTGTTCTCAACAAGGAACAATTCTTTTTTGAGTGTGACTCTCTTAATTCATGTTTATGCAAACAGCTCATTTATCTCTCTGCCTGGTGTATTTACTTTTAATGTGCTTTAATTATTCTTCAACTTTTATACTTTCACAAAGGGGAAAATAAATCATAGACTAACAATACAAACTGGCATTTCCTAAGTCCTTACTATGTGCCAGGCACTATCCTAAGTGCTTTCCGTATTAATACACTTAATCCCATAACAACCCTATGAGGTTAAGTATTATTCTTATTATCCTCATATTCCAAATGTGGAAACTGAGGCACACAGAGGGTAAGTAGCTCACAAGGACACACAGCCAGTAGGTGGGGGAGACTGACTAGGCCTGGCTAGTTTGCTTCCATAGCTCCCAGTACTTAACCATTCTGAGATACTGCTGGAAAGGTGGAAGGCGCAGAACAAACTTTTTAAGACACACACACCTATGGAATAAACTATGAAAGTAGTAAGTTCCCCTAAAGTTAGGCTGGAGTTGGACTGCTTGACAGGAATAATGTAGAGACTCAAACCTGGATTCGGATTCAGTATTAATTGCTGACTACTAATTAATGTGTTAATGTATGATTTATAATAATACATGAATAATGTATCAATATTGGCCTCAGGCTATACCCTGAGCTAGGTGGCTTTCACATAAAAATCTCCTGTAGCCTTTGCATCTCTATGGCACCCTGGTCCCAAGTTGGCTCCACGTTCCATAGCGGTCCTTTATGTTCATGAAAACTATAATCACGTGCTGGTGAAGGCAGGACGCTCCAGGTGTGACTGAACAGAGAGGCTGTCTTTCCCAAACACACAGGGCACGCTGACAATGCCAGCATCAGTCAGGAGGGAGAAAGCTAAGCATTCTGTTTGATGTCTAGTGAAACGCTTTATCTTTGTATGAAAGCTCACGCCCATTGCCTCACTTAATTTTCAACAAAACTAAGCTTTGTGGGTAGTCAGGGCAAGCACTTATCCATAATCTCATTTAAGGATGGAAAAAAAGCGGCTCAGAAGAGTGAAGAGGTTGCTGGAAGCACAAAATAAGGATAAATTGGGGTCATCTGTCCCTTCATCCAGCACCCAGTCCTCTAACCCTGCTGCTGGACTATTGTCAGCCACGTGCTGAACTCCAAAATCTATACGGGGAATCAGGGCAGGAGGTGACATTTCTTAAGCACCTACTGTATGGCCAGACTCAGTCCTCATCTCTTACTAGAAGTTGCATCGTTGACTTTTCCTAACAACCTTGTGAAGTAGGGATTATTACACCCATGTTCAGATGAAGAAACGCAAGCAGCTGGTAGAGCACGCGAGCAGGCTCTGGCACGTCTGTGAGCACAAACCTGGAAGATGCACG